TTGTCATCCGAGCCCTCTTCTCATCACCCTCGTCCGCTCTCGTCCCTCTGCCCTCCCTCGCCCCTGGCACCCCCCTCGCCTGCCGCCACCAGGAGACCCAGGAGCTTGCGACGTCCATAGCGGAGGACGTGGGCACCATCGTGCGCTACCTCTTCTGCCGCCTCACGGGGCGCTACGCCTCCTACTCCTCCATCCTGCACCGCTTGAAGCAGCTCGGCGCTCGCGACTTCGCCGCAGACGAGGCGCAGCGCCGCATGCAGCGGTACCAGTCGCTGCAGCGTCGGGCCAAGACAACCGTCATACGAGGGATCTGTGGGAGGAAGGCTGCGGAGGTGGAGCGAGCCAAGACGATGGCGGCGGGTGGGGGGGGAGTGGTGGCGCCGCAGAGGGTGCTGCAGGTGAAGGGGCAGAGCATTGACGACATCTCCCTCGCCATGATCCTGCAGCGCCGCCACTCCACACAGGTGCGCTGGGCGGGGCGTTAGGGGGATTGTTTCCTGAAATGAGCTCTTTCCCTGATTAGCTGCAGGAGTGAGTGACACTTGGAACGCACGCCAGTCGTTCGCAACCGCTCTTGTGCCAGCTGATCCTAACGCACTGTCTCCCACTCTGCTCTGCGTCACCAGGTGCTGCCATACTCGCCATCAGGCGGCCAAGACCAAGAGGAAAGCGTGACTGGTTCGGCTCCTGCTGTGGAGGAACTTTCTCACCAGCTTCTGCAACAGCTAGGGGAGAATGAAGCCCTTTTCACCACACCAAAGCCACTCAGCAAGCCAAAGCCGGGCCTGCACCAGATCCAGGTGTGCTGGCTGCTTCTTCTGCTGCTGCTACTGCTGCCGCCGCCTCCGCCGCCACTTTTGCTGCTGCTGTTCTTGTGTCACTCATGTGTATCCCTGTTACTGTGGGACCTCATGCTCTTTTGTTTTCTTGTCTGCTCTGCCCTTTTGCCACTCCCTCTGCATGGCAGGAGGAGCTGGTTCACTCACGAGAGTCTTTGGAGGAGCTCAAGGCCATGGTGGCTTCCCTGCAGGCGTCACTGCTGCTTGCTGCTGCCAATGGTCCCTCCTCTGCCTGCTCCCACTGCTCACATTGCCCTCATTGCCCTCATCCTGACGCCACCCACAAGCCCACCATGCCCACCGCTGGCACCACCAGCAGCGCCACCGCTACCTTGAAATCTGCCCCGCTTCGAGCTGCTACCTTTCAGGCCAATGGTTCTTCCCCAATGGTGTATGGTCCAGCACAATTGCCCCGTCTCGTTACATATCCTAACGCTCAAGTGCAGAAAAGTATTTCTCACTCCCCCACAGCTCGTTCAGCGCACCAGCATGATATAAGATGGAACCAGACAGAGACGGACAGAGGCATGGAAGAGGCCACCATGGATGGTGTAGAAAGGGGGTGTAAGAAATTTAGAGGTAGCACCAAATTTTGATGAACTGTTGGACACACATAATGAATTTAAGATGATTGCCTGACCTGAGGGCTGCTGAAATTTTGTCAAAATCACTTATGCTGTTGCATGCAAGTTCTTTAGTTACAACACATACAAGACGTGTCCATATTAAGAGATTTCAGTGCGGTTGATTAGACGTTTTCCGGGTTTCCTTGGTGTCTGATCTCATCAGTTGCGAGCCAATGATAGCGCTAGACCGTGACAGCTCATCCCCAGCGCTGTCTCCCATAAATCGCGCGCTAGGCGCTCAACGACAGACGACCTAGGATATGTACAGTGTTAGCACATGGCAATCCTTACAGTGCAGAATCCTGGGATGAGTGAGGGGCGCGTGGGAGGGACTTGAGGTTGGATTGGGCTGTTTGGGGGGGGGAGGTGGTTGAGTTTCGACTGGACTGCACAGAGGGAAGAGATGGGGATTCTGACGTGGAGACTTGACCTTGTCGGACGAATAAAACCATCGGTGCAACACGATCCTATGCGCTTCTAGAAGGTTTTGTGGATGTTACCGCTCGGTGCCTCTAGTTCAACAGATGTCACAGGAAAGTTGTGGTTCTGTTGCTCCACGTCCTTTCCTTTCATAAACTGGTGGGCTGGGGAGTGGGCTGGATGGGGATGGAAGGCGACTCTTGAGAGGTGAGGAAGGAGCATTTGTGGTTGAAACGCATTGTAGCACCATGCGCGTCGGCAGCACGGCTTGAAGCGGCCTGAGGAGGATATCCATGTGCGCTGCGGTCGATGCTGTTTCTTGTGTCGTGGCGCCTTGCGCCACTCATTGCTTTGCCTTGCAACCTTCCTCCTGCGCACATGCCGCCACCGCAGCCAGCAATCTGTCCCCACCAGGGCTGACGATTCAAGGGCAAATGCCCTTAATGCCCTGAACATTAAGGGTTGGGTTCGGCCCAGCTTCCGAAGTTTAAGGGCTGGGTTTGAGGGCAGCCCGTCCCCGCAAAGTGCTGGTTGTGGGCCTAACTCGGATTTCAAGTGCCGATCCCCCGGCTAGCCCTTATCGTCCCACACCTACCTCCCTCCCTCCCATTCCCCACCAGTCCCCCCGCTCTCCCAGCTACTCCACTACTTCCTTTTCCCATCCCCGTCAAATCCATCGACAGGGTTCGTACCTCAGCCTATTGCCTAGCTGGCTCTTAGTATTTTTCCTAGGATAACGGACCCGAATAGATATAGGTTTCCTTAGCAAAAGTGGAAAAAACTTGGTAGCCCTGATTTCAAGTGCCAGGTTTGCTCTCAGCCCGTAAATTTCAGGGCAGCTTTTGGGGCACCTCAGCCTCTCAAGTTCTGGCTCCAAACCAATCGACAGCCCTGGTCCCCACTGTGACATGGCCTTACGTCAACTTCTTGGTGTCCAACCTGTGGACTACGCACCGACAGATGACGATCTGAGAAAGCAGGAATCATCATCAGCAGTGCTAGGCGAAGATATCCACCCCGCGGCGGGTAAGAAGAACCGAGATGGCCATGGCCATGGCTGTGGCTGTGGTTCGCAGGGTGCTGCTGTCCTGCAGCGCGGAGCAGATGTGCTGCGGCTTACCCTTGCCTCGCTCCCAATCAGCAGACCCACACGGCCTGAGCGTCAGACGAAGCAGCAGCGTTTGCAGTCGTGGATCGCAGAGCACGTGCACCAATCGCCATCTAAAGGAGCCGAAATCATCCTATCCGTCGGAACTAGTAGTGGTACCTCCGTATTTGTCGCACGATCGACTATTCCACAGCCTCTCCCACGCCCTTCCTGTTTCTCCAGCCGCAGTTCGAGAGTGTGTAGCGAATTCTGGACGGCTAGTAGTGTTGCACGCTGTAGCAACCGCGCCGCGCTTTTATCCAGCGGTGGGTACAACCAGCACGTCGGGACTGACGCGCGGCGTCGGGAGAACCCGATACTGTCGCAAGTGGAAAGCGCAGATTCAAGATATCGCAGCGCCATCCGCGCTTTTGCGAAACCCTAACTTACATAGCAGCCTAAGGTCAGCCTGAGGAGACTGTACTATATGCGAATTCCAGTTATCAGATGTGCCGTTGCGTAAAATACTAAGCGGCAGACTCGTCGCGACGGCAATACCACTCAGTGGTTCTCTCAATATACAATAGTCAATCCGTCGCCTCAGTGACAAGCGAGCAAGGTAACAGGCAGCATGGCGGAAGCGGTGGTGATACTGCGCAACCGGAAGAAGGAGGAGGAGGAGCAGGGGGGTGCGCTGACCCGCTCCGCCAGTCTGCTGGAGGACAAGTTCTCCGCGTACGAGCGCGCCAACCACCAGATGTGGGCGCGCTCCGCCTCCAATGTCGGCACAAGGTCAGTTGCAGATGCCGCGCTATAAGATGCGCGTTCAGATGCACTCATTCGCTCCCACACGCGTATTCCAGCTCGTGTTCTGTCTTGATTTGGACGGCAGACTCCGGCTGTTGGCCGTTGATATGATTTCATTATATTGGAGGAGTTTTCTTTCTGCATTTTTTAGATTCCGTCGCTTCGACCGCACAGTCCCCCACCCCCGCTTCCCCGGCTTACGCTCCCCCAGTCACGACCAACCGCGCGCACATCACGTCCTTCCGCTAGTGCGGCCGTGGCGGGAGAAGCAGGCGAGCGGAAAGAAGCGCTGCCAGCGGGAGCGGAATGACGAGGCATCCGGCGGAAGCTGCGGAAAATTCTGGTGGAGCGGCGGAAGCAAAAGACCTGGGGGCGTTACAGGGGGTGCGGGGACGGTGCGTGAGAGCGACGTAGAAGCGGACGAGAGGGGGCGAGAGCGGCGCGTCCTTGATGCTGGGAATGGCTGTAGTAACAGCACGGTGCAGAACGGTGACGAGGCGGGTTGCGGGGAAAGGAAGGGGGAAGCGGCGGCAGTCAGGAAGCTACAGGGAAGGAGCTTGCACGACGACGACGATAACTGCGACGGGGAGAGTAACGAGGAGCTCTATACCGCGGATTACGACGCGAGCCGCGGGGGAGGAGACGAGGCGCGCGAGTTGGCGGGGCTGAAGGGGCTGGCGGCGGGGGAGGCGGAGGGCGAGAAGCGATGGGGGGGGGAAGAGGGCGAGGAGGGGTCGGAGGAGGAGGAGGCGATAGTAGACGAGGAGCTGGAGGAGATCGATAAGGAGGTCGTGCAAGGTGCGTGCTGCTTGCTCTGTGTGATCCCTGCGACTGAAGCCATGCGCTTTGGCTGTATGAGTCTGTGACGATGGCGAACGAGATGGAGGAGATCCACAAGGAGGTCGCACAAGGTGCGCCGCCGCTCCTATCTCTCTGCACCGCCGTGCCACCTCGCTCACGTTCCGCACACCCGTGATGTGTCTGCTTCTTGTTGCTTGCCGCTTGCCTCATACGCTGCGCGCACCCATGCGGCAGGCATGCAGCGGTCTCAACTGGCGCTCGTCTGTCGTCCTCCTGTGAACTGCTGCTCTAGTCTCCTCCGTGCGCTGGCGCGTTCTCACCTCCGCACGCATCTCACCTTCCCATTATCCCGCACAACCCTGTGCACCCCCTTGCATCCCTGTGCACCACACTGCACCCCTGTTCCCGATGGGCACGCAGACGTGTTTGACCGCGTGAGCTTCCTGCGGGACCAGGTGCAGCACTACCGCGCGCTGGGCGGGTTCGTGCTGCTGATGGCGCTGTTCGTGGCAATGGTGTATCTGCAGGCCGACTCCTCCCGCACCTTCCAAGTCACCTCCGCCCACTCCGTCCTCATCCCCTCCGTGAGCCCCCACGCTCTCCCCCCACACCTTCTGATGACCCCTCTGGTTTTGCCTGTGGAAGCTGGCTGGACTATAACAGGTTATACCTTATCCGCTTTGCTCCACGCCTCGACCTCTCATCCCGCGTCCTGCTTTGTTGCTCTCCTGCGTTGCATCCCTCATCCCGCGCAGAACTTCGCCCCGGATTCGTCCAACCGCTTCGCAGGAGCGGGCGAGTTCTACTCGTGGCTCAACAACAGCATCATTCAGGTGCCTCGCCTCGCGTCCCTGCTCCCCGCTGCTCCGCTCTGCTCCCCTCTGCCCGCTCCCCTCCGCTCTGCTCCCCTCTGCCCGCTCCCCTCTGCCTGCCTCTGCTCTGCTCCCCTCTACTCTGCTCTTCTTTTGTTTCCCTCTGCTCTGCTCCCGCGCCTCCTCGTAGTAAACCGTCCATTTCTGATGTTTCGCACGCCATGTTGCCATACGTGCCATCCGTGGTGGCACACATGTGTGGATTATACTGTGGTGGGTGTTCCGTGCCCGTCTGTACCCATGGATCCTCCTCTCCCCCCCTCTCTGCCTGCAGCAATTCTGGCAAGACCCACCATGCGGAGACGGCACGTGCGACCAGCCGTTCGAGTTCCCCGCCTTCGGCCGCTTCGGCTGCGAAGCAGACTGCGGCACGTTCCCCAACCTCACCTCCGTCTCAATCCATTTCACGACGTCATTTTCATCAAATGAGGCCGTGGCGTTGTCCTCATGGAACCTGTGCATGCAGAGCCCCATCTCGCTCTGCTGGCACGCCCTCCCCCAGCCCTTCCCCGCGCTGCACGCCCAGTTCTCCCTCGCCCTCCACATCCCCGACGGCCAATGGGCGCTGCTCATCACCGCGCCCATGGGGGGCGTGCAAGGCGTGCTGCAGGCGCAGAAGCCGGGGATCGCCCGGCTGGGGTCGGGTGGAAGGGGTGTGGCAATGACGAACATGGGGTCGTCTAACAGTGTCACCATTGCCGCGTTTGGCGGGTGCGCGGATGGCGAGGGGTTTGGATGGGGGAATGCGACGGCGGCGGCAGAGGCAGAGGCGCTGGACACGTGCAGAGAGGTGAGGCGCTGGACACGTGCAGAGAGGTGAGGGGAGAGAGATGGTTTTCGAGTGTCCTGGTGCGAGTTGGCGGAGAGGCTGGGTGCTGGTAGATGGCACCAGCGTGTAGGTCGGAGATGTGTTTCATTGCGCTTTTGCTTGCTGCAGCATCCTTACAGTCTCATTCGTTCCACCCTGTTTCCCCCGCGCCGTGTTCGCCTGTTCTCTCGCAGGTGTGTGAATCCGTGGCAGTGTGCCTGCAGTCCGCTTGTGGGCGGGAGGTGGCAACGAGGGAGGTGGCAGGCGCGTTTGTGGACTGCGTAAAGATATGCCGTGCAGCACCAGCCACCATCCTCCCATACGACACCATGTCATGCTCCCAGGTGAGCACGCCACCATGTCATGCCCCCAGGTGAGCACGCCACCATGTCATGCCCCCAGGTGAGCACGCCACCATGTCATGCCCCCAGGTGAGCACGCCACCATGTCATGCCCCCAGGTGAGCGTGCCACCATGTTTCTTGACTTGCAATTTACTCCTCGGTTCTCTGATATTTTCAGCGGGTACTATACGAGATTACCCTAACCGCCGAGCATTAGTCAGGCTGTCTGCACATGCCAATCTGTCGTTACCTCCCATCCGTCCATGCCCATGCATCCATGGTCCATGCCCATGCATCCATGGTCCATGCCCGTGCATCCATGGTCCATGCCCATCCATGCAGATAGCAGCAGAGGCCACCACCGTCTTTCCCAACTCCATGTGCACAGGTGCGCATCCCACTGCCTCTCCATGTCCTTCCCTTGCCGATTGTCCTCTCATCTCATACTGGACACACTGCCACACCGTTTGCTCTACCGTGTGAGCCACCATTCTGTGCTTTCTTCCGGCAGCAGAGCCCTCCCACACAGCTTTCACCCATGCACCCACTGCCGCCCGTCATTCCTGAAGTCCCCTTTGCATGCTCATCTCATCCCCCGCTTCTCTATCGCCCCCTCCTGCAGACAAGGCTTCATCTGCCCGCCGAAAAACAAGCGACGACACTTATAGGCATGGCGGCGAGCATGGCTACCAGCATGGGCACGGGCATGGGCATGGATACGAGCATGGGCATGGGCATGGATACGAACATGGGCATGCTCGACGGCTCGTGGAAGAGGTGCATGGGACGAGGTACCGCTTCCACCAGAGCCGGCACCGTGCAGCGGACACACATGCAGCGGCGGCAGAGGCAGCAGCAGCAGCTGCCGCACATGGGGATGGCAGTGCGCATGACAGGCCTGTGCCATCATACCATGCGACATCGTACCATTCGTCACACCATGGGCCATCATCCCACGAGAGTTACCATGGTTCAGCAGCCTACCATGGGTCAGCGTTCCATGCATCATCACTCCAAGGCCCAGAGCAGTACCATGAGCATGCGCCGCACAATCCCCATGCCTCTTCTGCCTACCACAGCCAGGCCGCCATGCCAGGGCTCTCCTCCTCTGCTGCCGCAACTGCTGACTTGGCAGCAGCCGGAGGAGCGGTGGGAGCGGTGGGGGTGGGAGGGGAGCGCATGGTGCAGGCAGCTGATCTATCGGAAGAGACCCTTGGTGAGCGCTGTGCTTGCATGTGCAGCATAGCATGGCACGGCACGGCACCATACAACAACTCGCTCTGCACCTTTGTCCTGCATCTGCCATCTCCTTTTCCTGATGTTTCCATCTGGTCTCCCTCTACCCACTCCGCTTCCAACCCCGCTCTTGCCCCCCTGCCACTACTCCCTTCCCCTTCTCTCTCCCCACCCCCACATCCGTCAGACCTCCCGCATCTCTCCACCGCTGCCAACGTGTGGACGCTCCTCGGCTCCACGGACGCGCAGCGAATCAGGAACCTCCAGGTGGCGGTGTCACGCACGCTGTACACGATGATAAAGGACTCGTGTCTGGCGGGGCCGTACGCAATGACGCTCACAGAGAGCTACCGCCGCAAGTTCACCGCCTTCCTCTGCACCATCTTTGGCGGGCCTGCGGAGAGCCTGGAGCTGTGCCGCTTCCGCAACGCCACGGGAAATCAGCTGGTGCAGGCAGAGGAGCTCTACAGGCACCTTAAGAAGGTGCACCTGGGGTGAGTGAGCCTCCCATGTTGGTGTTACTTGTAAGAATTCTCACAAGTGCCAAGGGGCACCAGCTGGTGCTGCATGCGGACGAGCTTTACAGGCACTCAAGAAGGTGCAGCTGGGGTGAGTGAGGCTGCTTTAGCCGTCTCTTTATTTTCTCTGGTGCATGTGCGCTCCTTTTGATGCCGCTTGCTCGTGCCCCGATTTCACCGTCATTGCTCGCAAAGCAACCCTCCAACTGCTCAATCCCGTGCCCTGTCCATCAACCCCCCTCCTCGCCCCTTCTTCCCTCATCCCTTACACCTGCCCCCTTCCCCCCCCCCCCCCCCCAGGGGCCGCCTGGTGATAACGTCGCAGCAGCTGCGGCGCTTCATAGACATCCTTATTGCCGCCATGCAGTCCGTCACCGCGCTCTCCCCCGACGCCCTGGCGGACCTCTCCTCCTTCTTCCACCGCCTCGACCCCGCCATCGTGAGCGCCACCACCGAGGGGTGCTCGCAGGGCGGCACGTGGCTGCAGTGGCGCGCGGGTGTGAAGCACAACACGACCATCCATGTGGGCGACAAGATCACGTGGGTGTGGGATGACGACCTCCCGCACTCCCTCAGAAGTGAGCTCGCTTCTCTCCTTCACATGCTTCTCGTATTGCTCTACTTGTTAGTCCTACGTTGTTCCCAGTCAACCAGTGCTAGCCAACAGAGTGTTAGCGAGTGTCCGTGCCATACGTGACCGCTGTGACGTGCCCCTGATCCACTTCGCACTTCTCCCCCCTCTTCCCCGCCATGCCATCCACCGTCCAGTATCGGGCATGGGAGACGGGCCGAAGCCCTTCTTTGAGGGATTTGGAGGGCACCGCCTGGCGCTGTCGCGGCGCTTCTTCTGCTCGCCCATGAACGTGGGCGCCAAGGATGACTATGACGACCCCGTGCCCTGTGTCGTCAGTGAGTACCTCTCACTGTGCCCTGTGTTGTCAGTGAGTAGCTCTCACTATGCCCTGCGTTGTCAGTGAGTAGCTCTTTCGACAACATCTCTTCCGTGCCCCTAAGTTGGTCATTTACGCCATTTCAGCCCACGTACACGTAACGTACGCGTACATGTACGTTTACGTGTACGTACACGTACGTACGTGTACGTACGCCGGGCAGGTCAGAAAAAAAAATTCGCGTTGAAATTTCTTCGAAAACGGTTTTTGAAAAAACTTAAAAAAAAAAAAAAAAGATTTCGAGGACCTGTGCTCTGTTAGCGTGTTAGCAAAACGCCGCGACGATTTTCAAAGTAGTAATGTAAGAAACAGGAAGGTTGCTAGCTAGGGTTGCTATGGTGTGGCGACTACCCTACGTACTATGTCGACTAAGGCGGTAGAACCACGATAGCTAAGTCTGTCGAGAGAAGGAGGTAGGAAATTGTGGTGGGAGTAGATCCGAATGTGTGCAAACTGTTCGCGATAGAACATTGCGAACAGTTTGACTCAGATCGCGATTGCTTCGTTTGCAAGGTAAGCGAATCTCACCCGCTCGGCAGTTTCGTCACCGCCAAGCTTCACTGGTTTCGGCGAATTCCAACTTCGAGTCAAACCAATTCGTTGAGTCAAATCTAAATGTACACTACATGATGGAATGTTTACACTATATGATGGAAATCATGATTACGAGGGAGAACTATAGAGAAAATATACATGTTCGGGCAGCCCAAAAAAATTTCGCCTGCCCGTACATTAGGCCTCCAACCCAACAGCCGCGTAAACGTACGTACCCGTACACGTACGTACGTAAACGTAAACGTAAATGACCAACTAAGCTGTGCCCTGCCCTTCCCCTCACATACGCCCTCACCGTGCCACCCATGCTTTTGAGTCGGCTCAAAAGCCCCTCACCGTGCCACCCATGCTTTTGAGTCGGCTCAAAAGCCCCTCACCGTGCCACCCATGCTTTTGAGTCGACTCAAAAGCCCCTCACCGTGCCACCCATGCTTTTGAGTCGACTCAAAAGCCCCTCACCGTGCCACCCATGCTTTTGAGTCGACTCAAAAGCCCCTCACCGTGCCACCCATGCTTTTGAGTCGACTCAAAAGCCCCTCACCGTGCCACCCATGCTTTTGAGTCGACTCAAAAGCCCCTCACCGTGCCACCCATGCTTTTGAGTCGACTCAAAAGCCCCTCACCGTGCCACCCATGCTTTTGAGTCGACTCAAAAGCCCCTCACCGTGCCACCCATGCTTTTGAGTCGACTCAAAAGCCCCTCACCGTGCCACCCATGCTTTTGAGTCGACTCAAAAGCCCCTCACCGTGCCACCCATGCTTTTGAGTCGACTCAAAGCCCCTCACCGTGCCACCCATGCTTTTGAGTCGACTCAAAAGCCCCTCACCGTGCCACCCATGCTTTTGAGTCGACTCAAAAGCCCCTCACCGTGCCACCCATGCTTTTGAGTCGACTCAAAAGCCCCTCACCGTGCCACCCATGCTTTTGAGTCGACTCAAAAGCCCCTCACCGTGCCACCCATGCTTTTGAGTCGACTCAAAAGCCCCTCACCGTGCCACCCATGCTTTTGAGTCGACTCAAAAGCCCCTCACCGTGCCACCCATGCTTTTGAGTCGACTCAAAAGCCCCTCACCGTGCCACCCATGCTTTTGAGTCGACTCAAAAGCCCCTCACCGTGCCACCCATGCTTTTGAGTCGACTCAAAAGCCCCTCACCGTGCCACCCATGCTTTTGAGTCGACTCAAAAGCCCCTCACCGTGCCACCCATGCTTTTGAGTCGACTCAAAAGCCCCTCACCGTGCCACCCATGCTTTTGAGTCGACTCAAAAGCCCCTCACCGTGCCACCCATGCTTTTGAGTCGACTCAAAAGCCCCTCACCGTGCCACCCATGCTTTTGAGTCGACTCAAAAGCCCCTCACCGTGCCACCCATGCTTTTGAGTCGACTCAAAAGCCCCTCACCGTGCCACCCATGCTTTTGAGTCGACTCAAAAGCCCCTCACCGTGCCACCCATGCTTTTGAGTCGACTCAAAAGCCCCTCACCGTGCCACCCATGCTTTTGAGTCGACTCAAAAGCCCCTCACCATGCCACCCATCCACCTGCCCGTCCCACCCCAAATCCACATGCCTCTTGCCCTCCTCTCCCCCCGTTTTCCTACTCTCCCCATCCCCCCCCCAGAGCTCGCATTGGACGGCAACGCCACGTTCACGTGCACCAAGGTCTTCTCCCGCCCGGGCGTGTACCTCTATGAAAGGTACTTATGAGGCGCCTCAAATGTCCTCATGCCCACACCCCCCCCCCCCACCCCTGTGCCCCCTTTCCCACCCTCTCTACAGAGCTCGCCTCGGACGTCAACGCCACATTCACGTACACCAAGGTCTTCACGCGCCCGGGCGTGTACCTCTATGAGAGCGGCAACGACGTCGGCGAGATCGGCGAGATTGGGAGTGCAGGGCCTTCCGCCTCCTCTTCCTCTGCCTCCTCCTCTGCCTCCTCCTCGTCCATGTCGGGGATGGTCACCGTACTCGTTCCACCTCCCGAGCCTCAAGGTCAGTGCTCAATGGTGTTCGCCGCTCTGTGCGCCCTGATGTGGGCAGCGCTCACATGAGGAGCCCGCGTGCTACCTGGGCCGCTCGCTGGTGGCGGATGAGAAGGTCGTTAGGTCCTGTACCCACCTCCATGTGTTAGGTCCTGTCCCCACCTCCATGTGTCTCCTCCTACCCTCTCACACATTCTTACCCCCGCCTGCCCTGCATCCCACCGCCGCCCTCCCTCCTCGTGTCCCTCCCCTCCCCACTCACCAGACACGGCATTCCTCTGCGCGCCAGCATGCTCGTTGCAGCTGATAGCCAACGGGGTGTGCAACCCCGAGTGCAACACGCCCACCTGCGCCTTTGACGGCGGTGACTGCGGGTGCATCGACCCTGTCTTTGGCGTGGGCTTCTGCACCTGCCCTGCCGGCCAGGCCAGGCGCCACGATGGATGTGCGCCCCTCTCCCTCCCTCGCCTTCCTTCCATACCGCGTTTCTTCCCTTTCCCCCTCGCTTGTACCCTCCGCCCTTTTTAACCCCGCCTACCCCTCATCTCTCTGACCCGGCCTCATCCCTTCCTCCTTCCACGCGCTCCGCTAATACTCCCTCTTCCCTTCCTCCCTCCTCTCCATCCATTGCTCGTGTGTGTGCGTGTGAGCAGCATGCTGTGTGTCGGATGCGGTGGGGGACAATCTGAGCTATCCCTTCACGCTGCAGCGCTACGGCCCCAACTTCTGGGAGAGCAACCACGCCTTTGCTGCTGAGAGGGACGCGCCGCTCACCCGCTTTGTGGCATCGCACAACAGGTACAGGTCTTTTATGGGGACGGACTGACTGGGGGAGCTGAATCCTTTCTGTCTTGTCTCCCGATGCATGCCGGCCGTTCATCTCATAGGCATGTTCCGCCACCGCTGGTCGAGTTCTGAGGCGCCTCAAAGGCCTCTTTCCTCGCCCTCCCACTCGCCCCCCCATGGCAGGTTGCTCATAGGCATGTTCCTGCGCCAGCACCGCTGGAGCGTCAAGACGTGCCAAAGCTCCGGGTACAGTCACTCAGTCCACTCACTGCGCACCCCTTCCTGCTGCCACCCTTCCGCTTTCCTCGCCATTCTTCTTGCCCTTCCGCTTTCCTCTCCATTCTTCTTGCTCTTCCGCTTTCCTCTCCATTCTTCTTGCCCTTCCGCTTTCCTCTCCATTCTTCTCGCCCTATCCCGCACTCGTCGCAAGCGCTCCCGCCGGTTTCCTTTTCTCCTCTCACTCCGCAACCACACCCACCCACCGCCTCGCACCTCCCAACCTCATCTCACTCGGTTTTCTCCCCGTCTCCATTGCCTCCCGTTCTCCCCCCCTCTCCTGCGCCCCTGCAGGCTGCATCACCTGGCGGGGTGGTGCAGCAACGGCACGTCACGGCAGCCCTTTGGGGTGAACCCGCACTACCTGCCCTCCTCCACGCTCTTCAACCCAGTTGCTGCTGCTGCCACTGCCACTGCCACCACCGCTCCCCAGGCGCAGAACGCCTCCTCTCAGGACCAGCTGGTGCTCAACCCGCAGGGTCTGCCTTATGGCTTCGTGTACCCCGTGGTAGGCTCGCCTTGCCTTGCCTTGCCTTGCCTTGCCGTGCCTTGCCTTGCCTTTGAGGTCAATCCGGCCTTTGAGGATGCCATGAGCCGCCTGCAGTGGAGCCTGGCTGATGGCTTCAAACTCACCACCTTCCACTCCCTCCCTTCCCCATGTCCTGTGTGACGCAATGGGCGAGCAGGAGCAGGAGGAGGGGTACCCGTTGGTGTTTGACGTGAACCTGGCGTTCGAGGACGCCATGCCATGAGCCGCCTGCAGTACCTGGCTGACGGCTTCCCCTCCCTCTTTTCTCTGCGTCACCGCCTTGCACTCCCTCCTTTCTCGATGTGCCGTGTGCCGTGGTGCTGAGCAGGAGGAGGAGGAGGGGTACCCGTTGGTGTTTGACGTGAACCTGGCGCTCGAGGACGCCATGAGCCGCCTGCAGTACCTGGCTGACGGCTTCTATATCGACAACGCCACGCGCTCCATCGAGGTCTCCTTCATCACCCACAATGGTGAGCCTATTTTCAAGCGCGCCTCAGGAATGAGCCGCCTGCAGTGCCTGGTGGATGGGCTGTCAATTGACAATGCCACGCACTCCATCGAGGTCTCCTTCATCACCCACAACGGTATGACTCTCACTCACCCACCGAGCGCAGTCTGGTGTGTTTTGAGGCGCCTCAAACTACACCTCACGGCCCGGAGTATGACTCACCCAACAACCGCTAGGCCCGGCCCAGAGTATGTGCGCTCTCCCGTCTTCTCCCGTCTTCAATGTTTTATCGTCTTGTTATCATCCTCCTCATTTCGCGCCCACCCGTCCACCCCGCACCCACCAGGCGAGAGCAGCACGTTTGTCCTCACGAGCGTCACAGCCGAGGTGGACACGGGCGGGGGGCTCGTCACCTCCTTCTCCTCGCTGCCCGTCTCCACCACCCTCTACCCGCCCACCATCACCTCCGTGTTCCTGCTGCTGCTGCAAGCGGTGTACGTGTTGGCGCTGCTGTGGAACGGGGTGGAGGAGGCGGTGGAGCTGCGGGGGCGCATGAAGAGAGAGGGGTCTGTTCTCAGCTACTTGCGCTCCGGATGGAACTGGATCGACATGGCCTCGCTGCTCCTGCAGTGGCTCGCTCTCATCACCTGGCTCGTGCTGTGGCGGGCCACAGAGGCCTTTGACGTGCAGCCGCGCTACGGCATCTACCACACGCTGCTGGAGATGCCGCAGTACTGGGCTGTGCCGGACCCGCCAGTGGGGTTCATGGCAGCCATGGACAAGTACTCGTCGCTGCAGGCGCTCATCAACTGGCGCTCCTTCTACTTCGCGCTGCAGGGCGTCAAGTGAGTTTTGTTGCTCTTACCGAGCTGCCGGGTCAAGCTGTTCTGGGTTCTGTAGTGACCCTCCCGCTCCTTCCTGGTGCGTACAACTGGCGCTCCTTTTACTTCGCCCTGCAGGGCGTCAAGTATGTGCTTGGCTTGCTTCCTCTTCCCTGCTTGATCTCTTTGGCTTCTCTGTTCCATGCTTCTTTTGATAATGTAGCTCAGATTGCTCAACTCGCATGCCTTTCTGTTGCCCATCCTTGACAACCCCGGTTGTGGAATCCATGTTGTCCCTCCAGTCTCTTCTTCCTCATGGTGCGGCTGCTCAAGCTGATGGACTTTCAGCCCTATCTGGGCGTCATCACACGCTCCCTCGCCCTCGCCATGCCATCGCTGCTGCACTTCTTCCTGCTCACATTCATCGTCTTCTTCTGCTTCGCTCTCTACGGCTACCTCGTGTTCGGTGGCAAAATGGAGCAGGTGCGTGTGGGTGGGAAGATGAACCATGGGCAGCCAGCCACACAGCACTCTACTCTCACTCGCTCTCACTCTCTCGCCCCATGTGCATGTGCACCACTTTCGTTGCTCACTTGCGCCTGCATGCACCTCATGTTGCAAAACCTTTTCTCATGCCAAGATTCACTCCTACGCATCCTCCCTCTGTGTCCTCCCAAACCCTGTGTCCTCCCAAACCCTGTGTCCTCCCGAACCCTGTGTCCTCCCAAACCCTGTGTCCTCCCAAACCCTGTGTCCTCCCAAACCCTGTGTCCTCCCATCCAACCTGTGCAGTTTGCGACGCTGCCGGAAGCGCTGTTCACATGTTTCCTGATCATCCTGAACGAGAACGCCACGGCCTACTTCTTTGCACACATGCATGGGTGGGACCTGGTGGCGGGCATGCTCTTCTTCATCGCCTTCATCCTCCTCCTCGTCTTCATCCTCTTCAACTTCCTCATCGCTATCATCGTCGACGCCTTCATGACCATCAAGGTGACTCGGCTCATAATTTCGTTTTGGTTTAGTTGTTTTTCTTTTCTTTTCTTTTCTTTTTTTTGTCAGGTTTTGCCACCGTCTCTATTGTCCTCCTCCAGCAGTTTCTGGTTACGACGATAAGTAAGCCCCCCTCTCACACTTGCCACCCACCTCCCGTGCCAGGACTCGCATGTGGTGGCGACATCCATAACGCACGACATCGGCACCATCCTGCGCTACCTCATCAACCGCTCTCTAGGCCGCTTTTCCCCGTACAGCGATATCATGGGGCGGCTGGAGCAGCTGGGCGCGCGCAACAAGCAGCAGGACGAGGCGCACAAGCGCATGCAGCGCTACCAGTCGTTCAAGCGCCGCGCCAAGTCCTGCTTTGGTCGTGGGAAGGTCTGTGGGGGGAGTGCTGCAGAGGTGGAGCGAGCCAAGACGATGGCGGCGGGTGGGGGGGGAGTGGTGGCGCCGCAGAGGGTGCTGCAGGTGAAGGGGCAGAGCATTGACGACATCTCCCTCGCCATGATCCTGCAGCGCCGCCATGCCCGGGAGGTGCGTCGTGCGTGCGTCCCCTCTGACACTCCTTGGTCTCGTTTTACGTGCTCCAAAGAAAAGTTGTGCTAGTCGACTTGAACGCTAACACATCGATTCACTCACACCCTCCCACTACCCCACTCCCCCTTCCATCGGACCCACTCACAGGATCCGTCAGCTTCCCTGCCCTCCCCATCATCCGCGGCGGTGCTGCAAATCTCTCCCGAGTCAGAGCAGCTGTCGCACGTGCTGCTGCGGCAGTTTGGCGACCACATGGTGCGCGACTACAGCCGGCCGCAGCACAAGCCCAAGCACGGGCTGCCACAGGTGCAGGAGGAGCTGGGCAAGGTGCGGGAAGTCATGGACGAGCTTAAAGCCATGGTGTTCGCGCTGCACTCCGCTGTCACTGCAGGGGCAGGCGGAGGGGGGGTGGGGTTCGGAGGGGAGGGTATGCTGCCTGCTGCTGCTGCTGGTGTGGCGGGTGCAGGTGGAAGTGCGGCAGGGGGAGCAGGAGGGCATTACCCGTCGTATTCCGCGTCGTCGTCGGCAGCAGCAGTGCTGGCGCGCTCTTCATTCAGCACCACCTCCTCCTTTTCCACCGCCCAAGGCTGCTTCCTCTCCCCCAACTCCCTCGGCACACCCCTTGGCACCTCCCCTGCTAGGGACCCCTTCTCTTCCCCTGCTGCCTCCTCCCTCGCTGCCTCCAGCCCCTTCATCCGTAACCCATTCGCTGCTGGTAACCCACTCCTCGCCGGACACCCGTTCGCGACTAATAACCCGTTTGGCACAGGCAGTCCGCAGCACCGCTCGCTGGTGCTGCAGCGGGGGGCAGCGAGGAGGGCAGGGAGTGCGGGGCGGGCGGGGCTGAGGGGGAGCATGGGTCCTAGTAACCTGGGGCGGGGGAACCAGGCGAGCAGGCAGGGGAATGGGCTGATGCTCTCGCGTGTGGAAACCACCCCGCTGCCCCACCGGCATAGTCTTGACGGCGCTGCTTCGGGTCGTCATGGCGGTTCTGGCGCCCATTCCCGTGCTGATGGCTCGCAGCAGCTGACTGATGAGAGTGCCGCTTTCGTTCATGCCGATACCATGCCCATGCCCCGAACCCGCACCTCTTCGTTCCCGTATCCTGAACCCGAGCCTCGTGACGCACAGGCAGGTTCGGTGCAGGCTCCTGGGAGCAGTGATGGAGAGAGTGTGGATGGGGATGGCAAGGGGAGTGCAAGCGGTGAGGAGCAGAGTGAGGAGCTGTCGCCTCTGACACAAGCCGCCCGGCGCGTATCATTGTCAGAGATGGAGGAGGAGGGTGGGGGGAGGATGAGGAAGAGAGGTGGAGAGGGTAGCAATGGGAGGGGCGCAAGTGGCGCTGGTGGAAGTGGGTCTGTGCGGAAGAGCGTGGGGTTCCGGGAGGTGTGAGGGAGGAATGTGCTGGACGAGGCTGCACTAATAAGACCGAAATGACAGCAAACTGCAGCATAGAGGAGTTGGTCTGCAATCGCTGGGTGCATGAGGTGGCGGTGACGCTATGTTACCTTGATGAGAGCACCGAACCAGTCCAGTCACAAAGTGCTGATGTTGCCTTCAGATTACCAGGTGAGTGGCAAGGGAGGTGGGGAGAGAGAAGGGGTGGTGGTGGGGTAGGGATAAGGGGTTTGGAGGGTGGAAAAGAAAGAGATGCAACAAAATTAGAAAATCTAATTGTACCGGTATCTGTTTATTAAGCTCCCCTGGTCCACCTTGTACCCTTCCTCCATGCAGCTGCTGGTTACTGAATGAACGGTACCGTACATGCTCGGACATATGGATCAGGGTGGTCATCCTTACATTCATGATCGTGGAGCCGCTCAGCATTGTGGTGGCATCACTTGTGATTGCGTGGTACAGCGTGGTAGCTTGCAGATTGGAGCATGATAGAGAAATGATTAGACCTTTCATGGAATGAGTCGCTGTATTCCTAAGAGCGTGTTCCTACACCTCGTATCAAGAGAGCCTCGTATCAGGCTCACACTGAAAATTCTTCTAAACCCAAAAGCTCTCGCTGGTTTTACCAGGCAAAAAGTACATTCTTGATAATATTATTTTTTAAAAGTGTAACACTTTTTGAATTTTCGTATTGTGAAAGCGAGGACGTGGCCAGCGACGCAAAGGTAGCGGTGCGACGCTACTCACCCCTCTTTTGCCTACAAAAGAGGAACGTGGGTTCAGTAGCTCCACCCACGTTTTTCATTTCCAATTTCTAGTTTTACTTTCCTAGTTCTCGTTCATCCTGGCGAAGACGCAGTCTCTCCCGAGGTTCAAGCAGGTCTCTCGCTAGGATTCAGGCCTGTCTGACAGGATGGGTAAAAAAAAAAAAAAATCGTCTTACGCTCAGATTGGCGCTTTTTTTTCGTCTGACCTCTAGAACGAAACAATATCACAAGTCTGATTAGACAGATGAACTATTCTACGGGGTCTACACTAACTACATCAATTCTACAACATACAATGTGAAAACTAAGTATCATTTCACCATTCTACGTATCAGTCAGACTCGCTACCACTATCATCAGCATCACTACAGCTGTCTAGGCTATCAGACGGCGGTGGAATAGGATAGTTAGCATTCCCCTTGCGACTGAGCCAGGGGAACTCTGCATCCAGCCTGGCTGCTTCTGCTACTGCTGCCGCTTCGCGTGCTGCTGCCTCTGCCGCAGCCACAGCAGCTGCTGCTGTTGCTGCTGCGTGGGCCTCTGCTCCTGCTGCGGATCTTCTTCTATTGCGCTTGCTCTCCCTCTCCACTCCCGCCAACAACACATCCTTTGCAGGCCTCCTCTTCTTGGATTTGCGCCACCGAGCCACCAACTCGGGCCACTCCATGTTGTAGCTCAGAAGAGACACGGTCATGAGCTCACCAAGCTTGGCGTCGCACAGGATCCCCCTCAGCCAGCTCTTGATCACGTTTTGCCACGAGAACCCGCGCTCGCACTCCACAGTGCTCAGCGGGAGTACGGCTACAGCAATCCACAGGCGGACAATGTTGGGGTAGCTCGTTGTCCAATCTGGTGAGGAGAGCATGTGCTTCAGGGCCTCCGCGAAGCCGACATCCTCTTGGTGGGTGCTCATGATTGTCGCGAAGGTGTTGAGCTCCCTCTGTGCTTTGGCCCAATCCACACTTGTACAAATGGGCGGGTGAATAGAGGAAGACAAAGATGCGGCCGCATGAATACAAATGTAACGCGACGCGGTTTCATAACGATTAAGCCCGAGATCTCACGACAATACGCCTAACACACCTGGCAGAGTGTCCGGATCCTCGGGATGCTTCTTGTACATGTCGCGCAGCGACTGCAACCACTGCGCCAACCGTCGCTCGCGCTTAGCCTGTGACTTGGGGTATTGGGACTTCTTGAAGAGCTTCGCGCCATTGAGCGACGCGAGATCATGCAGTCGGTAGTCGAGCTGCTTAATCAGCTCAACAACGAAGTCCCGCCCGAGCTTCAAACAAGAGCTGAGGTCGCCTTTGCTCTGCTGCCCCACGATAGCCTCTTCGTGCAGCAGGTAGCGGTGAGTTGTTGGCACTCCGGTGGAATCTAGGCCATCAACCTTGACCTCTCGACACTTCCCCGAGGCATGTTTCGCCAAGAATGGACCCAATGCAGCGCCGCTTTGCCCGAACGTCTCGTCGTTGCTGTCGAGGTAACGAGTCCGCAGCAGGAGTGTTGTGTTGTGTACCGTCTGCAGCACATGGATGGCGTCAATCTGCACAAGCATGAAGCAGAAATGGTTAGATTGTGACTATGGTTTACGAAGGCGGTTGCAAGCGTAAACATTAACGCGTACCTGTCGTTGTTGGAACTTCAAGTTGAGCAGGTTCAGCTCCTTCAACACATCGGCAAGCAAGTAGAGTAAGAAATGGAATTTGAAACTAGTCACTGTCGTGTACATCTTTTTGTCGAATTCCTGCAAGACGATCACAACCGCAGGAAAAACCGCGACGAGTCGCTAGATCGCATTGCCTCGAGAAAGCCACCTCACGTCCTTGATGCCCTGCATCTCCAAATGTGTCTCGCAAATGACCTCTTGCAGCTCCTTGAAGCGCGTATGGACCATGTTTTGCTGCATCTTTTGCTGCCAGCGCCTCCCTGCATGAATCAACCGAAACATGTTAGTACACGCAAGATAGGCAAATCAACACACAACTTGGTATAACTCGCCTGTGAGCGACACAGTGGCACGAAACGAGATGAGGAATCTTCCTGCGCAGGCGCGCGACCAACTCGTTGTGCAAGCCAGTCATCACAGAAGCGTCGTCTGTGCTCATACCGCTAATGTGCTGCAGATCGATGCCCACCGTCTCAAAATGTGTTAGCAGGCCAGTTAGCAGCGAGGCGGCGTCACACTACTCCACTAAGAGCAGGGTGTAGAACTCTGTGACTGGAAGGTTGTCGCGCACGAAAGTCATGTATACTATCATATGCTTCCCGCGCCTATGGCCCGTGCTCTCATCCAGCTGGATCCCGAGAAAGGGGCTGGCGCGGATGTACTGCAGCTCACGGGACCGCAGGTATGACACCAGCTGTGCAAAACCGTACCTGTAACACAAGAACAATAGGGGCGTGAGCATGGTGGAGCAGACACACAGACATAAGCGGGATACTGAAATTTTACTCACTCGCTGTAGTACGTGCCGTTTACCTTCACGGGCATGTCCGGCGTGCCCTGCTCAGCCATGAATTGAACAAGAGCAACGAAAAGCACAATAGGGGCGTCAGATTTGCAGATGAAGAGAGCGATTGCCATTAATCGAGCAATTCGCCTGGCGTCGTCGTCACCCTTGTCGAAGGTTGTCATGGACTTCTGGCCTTTCTTAAGGCCATCACGTTGTTCCTTCTGCAGCACCGCGGCCTCGTGCTTCACGCTGAGCCACGGGAAATAGCAAAGCCACTGCTCCTTACACTTGAGCTGCAGGTCTTCCACAGAGAGCGGCCGACGTCCCTTGGTTTTGCCCTTGTCCTCTTCTTCCGAATCGTCATCGGCGGATTGACGAGTCGTGGGTGGGACCGTCTCCGATGGCGCGGGCAAGGTAGGACCTGCGGGACGGGCAAAGTTAAGCATCCTCTGCTTGTATTTAGCTTTCAGTGAAGCCCTGTCAGGCAGCATAGGGTTAGCCCGAAGATCGGTGGTTGTTGCAACAGAAACAACAGGGCAGATGGATTCACGGCCGGATGTAGGCGAGCTTGTCGACGTGGGCGTGGGAGCCTTGGGCATGCCATTGTCCGCCTTTTCTTCGGCCACAGTGTCTGGTGATGCGTTGGTTGGGGGTATAACTTGGGTTGAGCACAAGGCAACGTGGGGTGCAACGACGGGGATCGATTTGCCCCGTGTGAGGAAATCTAGCGCTGAGACTCTAGGGGGGTGTAACTCCTCCGGAATGGCCATCAGGGGGTATGGCGAAAGTGGAAAACTGCACTGCGGGGCCAGACGAGTGCAGCGGAAGAAAAGGATGTAGAAGATGGACGGTGTGCCCCCAGCCTGGTCCCTCAAACCCTCGTCCCGTAGCTCGGCAGAGTGATACGCGGTGCGAGTGTGGGCGGGGAACCACAGTTACGTGCATCCGCGATGCATACAGGTCACCCCATCGCACAAAAGGACCGTGCCGGTGCCTGGTGTAGCTAGCATCGGTGCCGACACCCACGCAACGACAAAGTGCTGGCAGCATCTGACATGGTTTACTACTGCCAGCAGTGCTGTTTCCTCCAGCGCGGATGCTACGGGACAGAAGCATTCATTACGCATGCATGTATACATGCTGGCAGATACCCTAATTAGTGGCCCTATGGACAAGTGGGCACAAATGTCGGTTTCAGACAGAATCGTACTCGTTATCTGGATTCTAAGATGAAGAATAGTATGCGATATGAAAATTTATCTCAAGTAAAATCATTTGTCTTACTGATCATCTGAAAATAAAATCACAGTCTTACAGATCATCTGAAATAAGAAAATGAAGTCTGAAACGCAGACCATCAGACCAAATTGGTCTGGTAACGAGGGCCCTGGGTTCAAGTCCCCGTCGACACTGGTTACCGACATTCTCCAACACAACCTGGCAAATATGGCGCCCGCCAACACTACACTTAATCGTGAGGCGGAAAAGACAACTACCCCGGGTAACGCTTCGGAGCACGCGAACGCGCCCGGGGCACTTGACCGCCGCGGAAAACGCTCTGGCGAAGACAATTTCGGTGAGGGCTCTTTGGGGGTCGAAGTGCTGCTCGGGAGCAACTCCCGAGCCCCCTCCGAAGAAGCACGCGCGACTATGAAACAGTCACGCGTGCCTGCTACTGACGAGCGTGTGGCTCCCAAGCAGTCGCGCGCGCCGGTCAAGTCAACGCCGGCTGACGCGGACGGCGACGCTGGTCAGCCAGGGCCCACCC